AACAAGGTTTTGCAAGGGCTTATCCGGGCTTCAAGCCAAAGGGTCCTAAACCCTAAGCCCTAAAACCCTAAAACCCTAAACCCTAAACCCTTAAACCCTTAAACCCTAAACCCTAAACCCTAGAGTCCTAGAGGCTCGGGCTGTAAGGGCTTATCAGGGCTGTATCAGGGTATCATAACGGCGGCTTCACAAGTGTTTGGTTTTCGGGGCCTAGGGTTCTTTGGAGGTTTAGTGGTTTTAGGGTCAATAAAGGGGCGTGGGGCTTTAGGGCTTCGGGATGTCTGAGATTTTCGCAGTTTGGGGTTTTAGTAAATCGCAATTACAAACATAGAGATTCGAGCAACTAGTCATGGCATCCCCTTTAGCCCAACATTATTACACCAGAATCTCCCCCAAACGCCTACTGCACCTATTAAGGCCTCAATATTCGGATTCTTTGAAGATTGTTTGGAGCCCACTTGAGGCAGAGAGCTGCCATACCTTGGGATCTGTTCGGGGTGTCGCGAGAATGTAGTTTTGGGTTTCCTGAATGGAAATAGTAGGGTTTCAAGGTCCTAAAGGAGTATGGATTTTGGGACCCAAGACCTTTGCCACGGCTGATGATATGCATCCTGCGCTGCCCATAACAAGGAATACACCATACTTCCCAGAGTTTAGGGTCCTCAAGGTAATGCCGGATTTATATCATCAACCGGGCCCGCGGGGTTCGACTTTGGGGCAGTTCAGAGCCCGTAAGCCTCAGACAATGAGATCACCTTTAGGAACCCTAGGGGTCGAAGTACCTAGTTATCATATGGGCCGTTCTCCAAAATAGGGTTTCTTTTAAGGTCCTTTTTATAAGGGTGCCGTGCTATATTGGGGACCTAAAGAGGGACCCTAATTTAGAGAACCACCCATATACTCTCCAAAATAGTAACATAGATAACTATTACCCCAAAACCGAGTACCTGAGTATAGGGTCCTTTGGACCCTTGGAAGAACTTTAGGGTTCAGGCCGTATGGGGTTTAGGGTTTAGGGTTGAAGCCGAGGATCTTTTTCGAGTACCACTTCTGGTTCGATGGTGGCAACTTCGGCTGGGGTCACTCGGTCCCACATTTTTCCGCATGTTTTTTGTTTCCACTTTTTCGGGTTTAGGCCGTAGGGTCTAGGTCTACGGTATCAAGACTCGATACCGGAACAAGGGTATACTCATTTCAAGGAGGTTTCAGTGCATTAGAAACCTTGAGTTTAAAACCCTACATTTCCTATAAGCCTCCATACTCTAAGCCAGTATACACCCGTATGAACCCTTAGACTCCTCATTAGCCGCCCATACACCCCACAAGCCCTATAGCTACAAAGGGGGTAGTGTAGGGGTTTTAATGGTTGGAACAGGGTTTTGGGGGCTCCTTATTATAATTCTTGTATAATACACCCCAAAACCCCATTCGACTTATTAAGCCCCTACATTAAGCGTCTAAAACCCTAAACCCTAAACCCTAAACCCTAAACCCTAAACCCTAAACCCTAAACCCTAAGGGGGTAAGGGGGAGGGGAACCGAGGTCAAGTGAACCCGGAGAGGAATGTGGACACGGCGCTCGACCTGATGAGGAGACTCCGCTTGGCGGGCATCCGATCGCACTTCTGGATCTGAGCTTGAGCGTGTTTGGGTTAAGGGCTCAGAGTCTAGGAGTTTAGGGCTTAGGGTTCAGAGTTTAGGGTTTAGGAGTTTAGGATAGTTAGCATGATAGCAATGATAGCAATAAACAAATAGCAATTAAACCGGATGGCTTCCCTCAAGTTGGTTTTACTATAGCAGCGGTATGCGTAAGTGCTAGGGCGAACTGATGATGGTATCTCCAAACTGAGCTTCTTAGTAAGAACCCAGGTTTGCAGGGTGTCGTGCTTAGCGTAGATGCTGAGTCTGCAGAAAGCGGACACAGGACAGAAGAGCCAAGACCAACTGACACGCCCTTCAAACGCTTAACCCCCAAACCCCCCGCGAGGCTTAAATGCCAAGACCCTTGTCCGAGCTTGGCTGAGCCTTCGGACGCCAATGGGGCCAAAGCAGACTGCCCCAGCGGCCAAAGCAGACTGCGAGGATGCAAAAGAGGGTCAGCCATTGCTTGAAGGATTTGGGGGGGGGGGGGGGGGGNNGGGTTTCGTAAGTCGACTCTGCATAGGAATATGAGTAATGATGTGCAAACCAACCAGGGTACAGACAACCCATATCATGATGCGCTTGCACAGGTCGCTTGGCTTGAGGTGTTGGAAAGTAGTTGGCAAGATGAGGACAGGACCTGTCACAGAACGGACACTGCACTACAAGCCATGCGTCATGGGGTTAATTACTACCTCGGCTCGCATGATCTTCTCGAGACATCCCGCAGCAGAGAGCAATCATGCTTGCATATCTTATTCGTAGGGTCATCAAGATGTATGACGACCAAAAGTCTAAATCGTAAGCCTGTGCAGCCGGGGCCCCAAGGGACATATTGTCAGGCTTGTCGAATCCCCCCAGGCCCTGTTTGTAAAGGCTCTCTATGGGGACTAATTAGGAGTTTCATCTTCTCACAGTAAGAAGCGACGGTTTGAAGTTTGGTAGGTCGCCACACAAGAAAGAAGTCTAGGCCCCTAAGCCCAAAACCCTGCAGAGACTCAGGCCAGTCGTCATGGGAAGATCTTGCTGTCGTCTCGGCGGATTCAGGCTGGATGTGCTGGGCGGCGTCGGGTTCAAGGGTTTGGGTTTAGGATGGTGTCCGGGCTCGGATGTGTGACCTTAAGATGTGAAGCCGACGAAAACCATGGTTCAGGATCATGGGGTTTTACGGGCTTTGGGGTCTGGAGATTCATGAAAATAATCACCATTTTTTTTTTTGTGGGGGGGTTCCTTATTGTAGTTATAGTATACTTAGTACACCCCGAAGCCCTATTCGAATTATGAAGTTCTATACCCGAAACCCTATTCCAATTGTGAAGGCTCCTATATCAGGCGACTTTCTTGAAGCTAGCAAAGGACGGCTGTTCTTGACCCTAAGCCCTATGAACGCTAAACCCTAAACCAAGATTCGACTCGGGCCCCCCGAAACTAACGCCGTTAACACCTTCGTTCCCCAATATCCAACCTTTAAACGTTCTGGCTTCTTATACTTTAGTATTATTCAACGTTTTGGGTTCTCATATTTTAGTATTATTCTGAAAGTTTAACCTTTAATTTCCCTGGCTTCTTGGCGAAGTTAACACAGAATAATGCCAAGACTACGAATATGACTACGACTAAGAGAAGACGAAGACGGAGAATAGTCGGAATAACCATAGCAAGAGTATCAATGCAACTAGTAATAGTACTGATCATTATAGTAGTAATGACTATTATTACTAACACCACTACTAAGAATAGTACTGAGGATAATAGCAGTAATAGCACTAATTCGAAGCATCGTCATCGCCATCTTCTTCTTCATCATCATTATCATCGTCATCTCCATCATCACCATCACCATCACCATCACCATCACCATCACCATCACCATCACCATCACCATCACCATCACCATCACCATCACCATCACCATCACCATCAACAACAACAACATCACCATCACCATCAACAACAACAACATAATCATTATTATCATCACCATCATCATCATCATCACCATCATCATCATCGTCGTCGTCGCTTGGCTGCTCTGAACTGAAAGTGGTTCCTCAGGCTTGAGTCTCCATGTCGGCGGGGGGTGTAACACAGGTCTAGTCACAAGGGACTTGGTAAGTAAGGATATAAGT